GGAATTTGAGTCAAAATTTGTAGTAGTAGTAAATATGCTAGCCAAAAATTGCATTTGATAGAAGCTAGTAACATTGAATGCACAAATTTTTGTAATCTTATCAAAATTTGGTGTAGACAGATTATACACATTGCACAATTTTTAGTCACATCAACGCAATTTGAATAGCATGGATGATCATAAATCATATTAGGATGGTCATGACTTTACATGTGTTGATGGTTACAAAAGAGCATTAAGATTTAGTATTTTAGAAATAGATGCTAAATTTAAGAAAATTTTAATATACTTCTTTATTGGATCAGTCTTTTGTGAATTCAAAACTGTAATTGAGTATTGAATCATTTTTGTGAGTATTTTTTAATAAAAATGCTTTTATTTTGGATTAAAGTACACATTTCATCACAAACATCTTATTTGATATGCGTTGATGATTACTTCAAACAACTAAAAAAAACTATTAAATAAGTGAAAAGTTTGTTTTGTGTAACACAAATGAAATACACAAATGAATGGATTTACACAAAAAAATAAATTTGATTCATTTCTGTACATCATTTGTTATGTGTACAGGTAATGAACAATAAAAATTCAATAATGCAAAATGCAAGCAAACATAGCAAGTTAAGATTGACTTCGTTTCATTTTGTGATATAAACTATGGGCATCATAATCAATCTTAACACATTCCAATCTAGAAATATTGTTGTTAATTGTTGTTGAAAAAAATATAAAAAATTTTATCAATAATCATAAGCAATAAAAAGTGTCTCAATATAATATCATGGTATTTGTTTCACAATTTTTGCATCAATTATTGATGATATGATTGGCAAGTTATTTGTTCATTCATGTTCATCATTTTGAAGATGATGAACATGAATACTTGAAATAAATTTTCAACACGTTCAAGTTGCAATAAATTCAAACTTATTCAATAACAATAAAAATTTGACTATGCTTTGATATGGTAATTGAATATGTATCAATTGGTCTAATTATTTTGACAAATTGCAGTAACGATAGAATTGTATCACAATCATATCAAAAAATTTAAACTAATTGGCTTGAATAAACAATATTTTTGGTCCATTTTTTGGTATTCTGATCAAAATCTATAGAAAAAATTTATTTGCTTCAACTTATTTACTTTGTATCTTATGGAGTTGGTATAGCTAGTATATTATAGATATCATACATGTTTTTAATCAAAATTCCAATCCAAAAAGGCAAAAAATAACTACAAGCCAATATGTGATTTTATAACAAGTTAATTTGAAATAACGTTTGATTAATATTTGCGTCAAAGATCAAATATAAAACATATGATCTCTAGGCTTAATTTTCAAAAAATAAAGTTACTTGCTAAATAAAAAAATTGGTTTTTGTAAAAATAATAAGATACATAGTCATTTAATTTGCTTTAATTATTATCGATTGTTGTACTAATAATTAGTACAACAATCGACACTTCACAAATCTCAAATTGTGACCTCATTCATATCCTTTTTGGTATCAGCATTTTGAAACTTTTCAACTAACTATGTTCAAGCTCGTTCCACTAACATATGTGAAAAGATCTTAAACACTTATAGTTATTTTTCAATGACAAGAATGGAGCTTAAAAACCAAAATCTCTCTACAGCGGATGTAGTATATTCTTTTTGCATAGATCTTTTGACCATTGTGTCACCTCAAGGATATGAAACTAAAATTTTCAAGGTAGTTATAGACTTTATTAGTACTTATCAATTCTGCAAAATTTGACTAAGAAAAAAACTATCAAATTGTTGACTATTTACAAAGCATGATCCTTATATTCCACTGAATTCAAAAGCAAAAAAAACTTAAAATTTTTGCAATAATGCTTTCAGGCTTTGGATGACTTCTGCATTGAATGATTGCCAAACGGACATTATGTTAGAAAAAAAAAATCAGATTTTGACATTTAATAAATTGATACCTTCATTGAGAATGTAGATTGTAGTATTATCAAAAAATAGAATAATTTTGAGCTTTTAGAAAATATAACTCGTCTAGATGTTTCACATAATCATTAACTGCTGGGTTATAATTATAGCTTTGATTTTTTGGTGTTCAGATCACAAAATCAACAAGTTTTTTTGACTTGTCAATGATCTAAGAAGGAAATATTTCACCAATTGCTTAACAAGTCAAAATCACTGTTACATTATGTTCTTTTTTTCCACTTTCTTACATTATTGAGTCACAAACCTTAATGTTTAATATGATAAAACACTCAACAAAAATATGTTTTCTTTTATGTTAAACAAGTATTTCAAACTGTTGTTGCTTAAATCAACTTCCATTGTTTAGCACTATCAAGATACATGTTTTTTTTCTCTCCACAATTCTTGTAGGACTACACGTTATTCTTTTACTTCCATCTTCATAGCTAATCTTTTGATGCAAAAAAATGGCTGGCCTTCCAAGTTGATTGGCTAGTTAATTGATTGTAGTATAAGACCAACGATTGATTTTTTCGTGTGCATGTTGTTGCAAATAATCTCCACAAAATGATTTTGAAATCACTCTGTTTCACAATTCTCGCTTTGAACAACAAATGATTGATGTTTTCCTCTTTCAACAACAATTTTATGTTTTGCATAGCGGATTGAACTATATATTTTGACAAATTGAACTTTGTTACAATTGTGCAAATGATGTGATATTCATCAAGATGCTTGATAATGGCTAATTTGACCTTGAAATTCACAAGCTTGTGTTTTTTTTCCTAAGATTCTTAAAAAATTATGATCAAAATCCAAAGATAAAAAAGCAAATAAAAAGATAACTATCTAATGTAGTATTGAGTGGACATTTTGTGGCTATTACATGATGTAACCATAGGTTTTAACAAAGGTGTAATTTTTATAGAAAGTTTTTTTATCATAAATATGGAAAATTTTGTTTTTTAAATCTTTTGTTGCACTTTAAATGGAGATGTATCTTATGTAGTTGTGCTTCATACAAAATTATCACTATATTTTATAAGCCGATGATTTTGTGTGGATATTTTTTATATCTTGTGATGGTAACATTCATCATGAAGCATCTTTTTTGATATTCAAATTTAAATGTGCCATCATGAAATTCTTTCCAATTTATATTCGGTAGTGAAATCACTCTTTGTAAGGCACAAATATATCAATATAATCAAATTTAATGTGGATTCAATTAATACTCCTTAAGCAAAGTGGAGGAATAAGCTTCTATCAGTGGCTACTGATGAAAAAATATACAATGATCAAACGTCAAGGTGATGTTTAAACTTTGGTGCAGCTAAAAAACATCCATGCAATTTTTAGTATCGTGTATGATTTGCATGTAGTTGATCTCGCAGTGAAAATAATTACCAAAAATACGGAGGATACGGTGGTTTTCAAATTCTCTCATGACTCATGTGCCAAGTACAATTTGTTTACTTATATAGATAAGAAATGTTCAAAAGACACAATTCAATGTATTGCAATTGACAATGTATTTGAATTTATAGGACAATCTCATCCTATTAGGATGAGATTGTCCAGTAGTTATTGTTAAGATGGAATTTCGACTTATTGATGAGAAAAACTCGTGCAAGAACTCATTTTTTTTTGGTGGATCACTGTTGCAACTGTTCAACCCTCTTATGTCCAAATCAGATTTAACTGTTATCATTGCTCCAAATTAAAACATGGTACTGTCGCAGTAGAAGGTGCTGCTTATCAACACTCTGATTGTGGATTTGTGCAATATAATGGAAGTGAAAAATGTTGACATAGACTTTTCAATTTTGGCTAACTCTCTTGCTCTGCAAGCAAGAGAGTATTTTAAGATTTGAAATTGATGGCCGACAGATTTTTTTTTATATTGCATATTGACGATTAAGGTTCTCGGGCACGGTATATGCTGCATACGTTGGATGAAAATGATAAGAAACGTGTTTCATTTTAGATTGCAGAGTCCAATATCAAATTAATTTCTGGTCTGAACAATGTTGAGGCTGAGAGGTAAAATGATAATTAGATTGCAAACACAAATAACATATCTCGTTTGATGATGCCGGAAAAGTTGGTGAAACTTTGTCCAAGTCGTTTCATTTCAAGCATCGTGAGCAAGCATCACAGTGAAGAATAGATTGAAGATATTGAGAAGGAATATAGGAAGTTGTACAATCAGTGCAATGTCCATGGAGTATCTAACATCTCTACCAATGCTGATCAGAATGACCACATTACCTCGTTCCATAGCTTGTTCGGACTTGGGGATCCTATTACACATTATTGTGATGTTTCCCAAGCAACGTAGCGACTGCAATCCAAACACAATGTGTGTGAAGAAGAATTCTGAATTATGAAGTGGTCAAAGAGTGCAAGTCTCTCGCCAACCTTTCTTCAAAAGTCATCGTTCAATCTAAGCTAGCGGAACTTTTGATGAAGTTGCAGGAAAATTAGCCATTCATATAGCTTTATAATTAATCATAACTAACATAGGCTTATCTGCAGTTTGTTTGGGGCCTTATGGTACTGCAAATTGAAGCGCCAATTTAATTTTAGTGGTGTCTCCAATTTACCTTATTTAGGTATATTCGGAAAATGCCGAATTTTAGGAGGCCAGGGTCATTTTGGTACGAATTCGTCAAACTGGTCAAATTTAGCTTGGTAATAATTCGATTTTGCACAAAATCAAAACCTCGTAAGTCAAGTGTACTAGAAGTTCAAAGAGCACGGGAAGAGAGGAACGGCGGATTCTGGGGTGGGAAGGTGTACGGAAATTTCAGAGCAACGTCTTCCGTCGCATACAAGCCTGGGAATCATGGGAATCAGAGAGTTGTGCAGCTTAAAGCTTTGTCAACTACCGAGATTACTCGAAATTTGGAATTCACTCATCGTAGCTTGATTATCACTATGTTACCTTTCTATAATACAGTACTTGATTCTTTATTCGAGACGGATACAATATATTTACCAGGATGATGAAGTCAGCAAGACTGTGATCACCAGGCACGACAGGTTTTTGTCGACGAAGTGTTAGACAGAAGAGAAGGATTGCCAGGAATTGCTTCCATGAGAATTCCAGCTGTTTCAGCTGTCGAGTCGTCTTTGTTTCAATTCTGACTTCACGGACTCTCTCCGAACAAGATTCGCATCACGCACAGAATTGATTGGTCTGGAACTATCGAGCGTAAGCCCCGAGCGTTTGAGTGCTTTGGGAGCTTGGGTTATTGGGATTAGGTTGTACCATCGGGGCTAGCTTGTTGCGGAAAATCCTTATAGTTCGACACTCTTATTCTTGCAATGAATTGTTCGCAGGATCTCATCTATCAGCCTTGTGGACGTCGTTCTTCAAGAGGTAGCGACGCTTACTGGGGGTCTTTTTGCTGTCAATGGCAAGGGAGAAGCGTCCTCTGGAAAAAGATGCAGCAACTGAAGGAATGCCGGAGGGAAAGCGACAGCGTGTACCCGCGTTAGCCAGGTGCATGTTGATCTACATTATTACAGAATTGCCTTTTCTTCCGTACTAGTGTGTAAAGCATCTGTAAGCAGTGATGAAATTTTCAGGTGACGTGAGTTTGTTCAAAAATATTTGTGCCGAGCAATATTGAGGTTGTGAATGGAGCCTCTGTCAGGTGCAAATTAGCCATGGAGCAAAGGTAGTCCATGGCCATTTGGCACCTGACAGTTCCTCTCTCAAAATTGCATTAAACATCCTCTCCGAAAAGTTCCTATCTAAGTTTTGTTTGTGCTCCCTATGTTCTGCACATGCTCTCTTTCTAAACAAAATTATACCGAACTCTTTTCGAAGCGAAGATTGGATGACTGACGGTAGAGAGCGTAAAAGTGCTGCTTATTGATATGCGTTGTTTTGTGTGCACAAGTGGTATCATTTTCAGCGTGATCGTGGAAGCGGTCAAAATGGATAGTCTTCAAAAGCTTTGCTCCACTCTCGAACCTTTACTTCGTCGGGTGGTAAGCCTCATGACGTGCTCTCTTGAAATTGGTTCCAAGAATTCAATTTAGCGTACGTCAAAATGATTTAAAGCTTTCATTTGTTCGGGTTGCGGTACATAGTCATTAAGCAGCTGCTTAATGTCAATGTATCGCAAGTCGTTGAATACCTGACGATGTGTTGAATTATAAACTGAGGACACTGAGCTAGATAGCCCTACAGAAGCTCGTGCCCATGTGACATACGGTCCATCAAATTACCTTTCACTCTCGGATAGTTGCCAGACATCTTGGCTCGGAAGGTTACCTCCTTTGCGTCCTCTGCCAGTCAGCGAACTTAGCTTATACAACTGTCGATATGTTTATGGTGATCATTGCAATGGCCGTCATACCTATTTGATGCGTTGTGTCTAGCTCATCACGCAATGCGTATCTTGCTAGTGTCCGCGTGAATTGCTCAGTCTCTCCATTTGATGTTGCTTAAAGGAACGTAAAACGTGACACACGTTTTCTGCAACATCCCCTCGCCCTTATTTAGGAGCTCACATACTTGCCGCACGCTCTGTAGATGATAAAGAGAGTGCTTTGGTTTAACCTTGCTGTAACATGCTGCCTTAACTAAGGCAGTAACACCAGCAAGTAGTACCAGTAATCGGAGTAACAGCAACACGCAGTCTCCATGAACGACCCCACAGAGTTGTTGAATCAACCACATCTGGCCTGGTCTGTTTTGCTTCCAAGGCTGAACTTAATGATCACGCTTCCGTGACGGACCACCACAACGACAGTTAGCTTGTAGTTCAAGTTCCGCACGTCTTTCTGACATTGGGTTGAGTATTTTCTTGTGCTTTCATCGCACTCTAGTCTACATTACTGGTACAAACCTTTGCACCATGCCAGCCATGGGCATCTTCTAAACGGTTGGCAGTGAGCGCACTACAGGTAGTGAGTTTTCTTCTAAGGCCGCTGTCTAGGTCTCAGGTCCTTTTTGGCCTCCTCTGTTCTCTAACCGTTCGCTTTATGTTTATTCTCCTTCCCCTCATCGCTCAGGGTTCTCTCCAGGTCGTTCGAGGAATAGCTCCGTATAAGCTAATTTTGTGCCATACCGTATCTACAGTGGGCCTGCTATACAAAAAATTTGGATACTCTCCGTTGTCTGTCGGGCTTTTAGTGATCCTCAACCCCCGCACGGTTGCCTGAAATCGCCTACTTCTTCCGGCTCCCCCTATGAAACAGCCGGATTATGTGACGACAGAGTTATGCCCGCCGGATAAATGTTGTGTATTGTCCTTGGTTCCCATTCTCGCATTGGATTCAACGAACTATATCGAACGTTGTTTCGACATGCGTTTGCAGTCGTGTTCCATGTCTGTCTCTTGTGTTTTTGCTACTATGGATATTGATTGCGTCCTTCACTTCTCCGTAACTTGCATGCAGGGTTCTGTTTTGGTACCTTGTCATTTTCCGTATTATTAGTCCATTCTGTTAGCAGTATGCTATGCCATGCATCTGTTCTGTTCTTTAGTATTTGAAACTTAGAATGCGTCGATGTATGCCATAAGTAGAGCCCCTGTAGACTGCACTCTCCGGCCCTTTTGCGTGTTAAGCCCTTGTGTTTGGTGACGTCTTATTTCCATTGTCCTACTATTGGCGCCTGTTGTCATGAATGTAAAGCTTCGTTTGTTCGTGTGACTGTCGGTTGCTGAGACCGACTGTCATCCCTTTTAGTTATACGATGAACACCCTGGAACCTCTTCTTTAATTTTCTATGGATTCGAGATATAATTTTACTTTCCTCGCTGCTATTTTGTTACTATCGTCATGATATTTCTTGGTCATATATGTGCCCTGATTTAACTTTATAGCCTGAATTGGGCTTCTATGCAATCTTACATGTAAACCTTGCATTGTATGTATATTTCTTTACCCTTTTGACTACAAGAACGGTAGTATCTCACCAGTCGCGTTGCGTCTCGTCAGTCAGGAGTCATTTCTCACGTATCGCTTTTTTACCTCTCATTGTTAGATTCGTCCTGTAATCATGTGTTTCATGAATTTTCCTACGTATCTGCCGTTTCTACTTTCGCAATTGTTTTAGCACCTGTCTTAGTACCTTGCGGGTTGATCCAGACTGATCGGTGGATTCCAAGCGTTGCGGTTGTCCATGCACAACTCAATATACTTCTTACTGTAATTGGAACATCTCTGTTTACCGGCTTTAACCTTGATATATTTAAAACACAGTCAATTTACGTACAATTTATGGTCCATTGACATTCGCAGTTTTATAAACTTGTAGAGTTGTCTGGTGGATACAAAAGTTTTTTTTAAAACTCTTAATTTGCATCCATCTTTTCTTGGTCAAGTTCTGATGTAGGCTGTCCACTCTGAAGCTTGCCATACATCTAATCGGAAAGCTCCGCGAGACTTGTTCCCTGCTGATAGAAAACTTGTGCTTCACTCCACATATAGCGACTTTCCAGCCATAGACGTGGAATGTGTGTTCTGTTAGGCTGTGCTTGTCAACGCAGTGAATGTAGCTAAAGATGCGCCGGGAAGTGACGTGGAGCAGGTAGGAGAGGAAGTGGAGCGTGTCCTTGCTAAGTTGTCTCCTGCCAAAGTAGGTTTCAGGTAAGTCGTTTATTCTTTGCAGCTTTTTTGTTTTGAACTGACGAAGCTCTTCGAGGGTTGTGGGGATGGATGGTATGCTGGTGAAGATTATTATTTAACGCTGTTATCACCGTGGCCAGATCGTCCCCCAAAAGGATTCAGGGTCCAGATGCCAGAAGCCTGCGCCTTCAGTTCAGGAACAAATTGTCGCTCCCCCTTTTTACGGGAAGCAAGGTCGAAGGGGAACAAGGATCTGCTATTCATGTTGTATTGCAAGACGCAAGCTCAGGCGAGGTCGTGACTGGAGGTGCAGAAGCCTCTGCAAAGTTGGAAATTGTAGTTCTTGAAGGCGACTTTTCTCTTGACGATGACGAAGACTGGCCCCAAGAAGACTTCGAAAACCATGAAGTTCGAGAACGTGATGGTAAAAGGCCGCTCCTGACAGGAGATCTTTCCGTGACTTTGAAAGAAGGCGTTGGGACTCTAGGGGAACTGACTTTTACGGATAACTCCAGCTGGATAAGAAGTCGAAAGTTTCGGTTGGGAGTGAAAATCTCGTCTGGCTATTGCGAGGGTCTCCGCATTCGCGAAGCAAAGACTGATGCGTTTACGGTTAAGGATCATCGTGGGGAATGTAAGTCTGTATCCTGCTCTCGAAGTTGATGTACCTAGTGCTGTATCCTTGCGTTGTCACTAGCTCCCCTTGTCTTTGGTTTGGTTGCTAATCTTACAGCTTGTGCCTTTTGACGTTAAGTTTTTTAGTTTTCGTATAGACTTTTTTTTTCTCTTTTTCTAAAGCTGTCACTGGGGGGGCTGCTCGGTGCTGGAGGGCTGCTCGATGTATTGAGCGTATACGCTTAGTTCGTTTTTACGTGCTCAAAGTCCTCGCCTAGGTGTTTCGTGATTACGCTTTGACTCCTCTGCCTATCTTAGCACAGTCCTACCTGCTCTTTCCTTTCAGCTGTATTAGTCGTATTATTGTCGTAGACGTTGCGTATGTTTTATCAACTCGATTTGATACTTCACCATGTGCTGCACTTTCCATCTCTGGTGGAGAGATTGTAAAATCAATCTTGGTTCGATCCTTTTATTACACACATTGTTAATATTTGCATTCATCCGTTACATGCTGTTCAGTAATAACCAATTGGTTTCCAATTCACATTAGCTATCTGTCTTGGTAGTAACACGTATACTTCACCCGCGTTTTCATCATGACTTTCTGTCCATTTACAGACTCGACAATAGCCATAAGATGCACTTTAGGTCTCAGGCCATTTATTGGCTTGTGTTAAGTATTTCCTCTCTTTGGACTCCTGTCTAAAGTCAGTCTCACACTCCCCTCCGCTCTCGATGCTTTCGCTCTGTCCGATATGAGCTTAGCTGGTGCTAAACACTTTCTAAGATTTGTCCGTTTAATAGTTATGAGAACTCCACATTTGTCAGTTTGGTTTCATATTATCCTCAACTTCGCTGCTGTCCAGTGTTGAAACCCCCATACTCTCTGATGAAGCAGTCGCGATCATATGACGATGGAGTGATGCCCGTTGGATACGTATTGTTGATGGTCCCTGGCTCCTTTTCTCGCATCGGTTTCGAGGTCCGTATTGCACATTGTTCTGTCAGTCCGAATGCCCTCGTTTTTTCTTCTAGCCGTGTTTCAATTAGGTGGTTATACCTGCACTCCATCTCATTGATATTTGCCGGCTGCTTCCCCTCTTTGCAACTCGCTTATTGCTTTTATTCTGGAAACTCGATGTATGCTTTCCTTGGTATCCCTGGACTTTTTAAGATTGAGTGGTATGCTACGCATTGTAACCCACGGGGATCTTGTTTCGGTGCATCAGGTTAAACCTTAGAGAGAGCCTGTAAGGTCTGTGCTCTTCGGTGTCCCTGCGTGTTAGGCCCTAGCGGTTGATCTCATGTCATTTCAACTGTGTTAGCTCCTCGACGTCTGTACGCATGATTAGTTTCGTCCTAGCGAGTTGCCATCAGATCCTCCGACTTGCATGTAGGAAGTAGTAGAGAGATGCTTGTTGAGATAGAGGTATACCATGAGTGGGATTACTCGTTTACTGTTTCCTGTGCATTCGGGCTGGCTTCTCTCGTTCAGTCTTTACCGCACTAGTGTTGCTGAAGTAAATTTTCATCTTTTGTTTTATCTAATAAATTGTCCGTGGTGACAGATCGTGTGCTGCAGTGTGCTGCAGTTGTCGTTCTGTACAATCCGTCTCTTTCTTTTCTTGTTTCAATCCGTAGCTGTATTTTGTTTGTTGCTCTGGTCGCTATGCTTTTCTGTTCTCTTTTCAAATTGCTGGTTTGTGCTGGTCCAATTAGCAACGTTGAGTTGGTTTAAGTTGACGTATTAGTCTTTGTTTTTTCTTGCCAAATGTCTATCACCGATCAGCGACAAATTTCTTCTTAAAGCGGGTTGAAGTCCTTTCTTCTGCTGTCTTTGTGTACACATCATCGTATGGTTCTTTCCACGACCTTATAAGTCAAGCAGAGACTTCTGGTTCAAGAAGAGCTTTGGCTGCTCCGCTCCCGTTGTACTCTTATATTCAGATACAGTAGCCTGTTGAAATTTTTTTTATTCCCAGTACATAAACAGAAATTAAAGGCCCGATATGTTCTTTCACTTTCTGCCCCCTTTCGGAGACGGTTGCGACAAAGTCGCGCCGGTCAGGCTTTAGGACATGCCGTTTGCACGGATGCTGTTGTTTTAAGAAAGGGAATGATGTACACCAGAGGGTACCGCTGTTCGTGCCGAACGCCGCTCAAGTTTGAAACACTATTCTACTATGGCACATCCTTTCCTGATACCATAAACCTGTATGGTACCTGTTGACATCCATTAGCTGACGACTCTTAACACTAGTATTAATATGGTTGGGGTTAGTTAATGGGAACTCCTTCTACGGGCTTCGCTTCTGCAACAAATGGGTTTAAACACACTCTTCTCGTGGATCTCAGATAACTCTACTGGTTTTCCTAAGTGTTATTTATGGTTTTTACCGTAATTGCCCATATTTGGATCACTGCCCCCCACTTCTTTTCTCACGCTATGAACTTACTAGCCTGAACAATTTCTACCTGAAATTCTACCTGAGCTATAAGAGCGAATGGCCACCTTAGTCAAAGATCTCTTTCTTTACATAGATAGAGGGACCGACTTTAGGTCAACCATGACAAGTTTTCCACTTAATATCGCTGGATTCACCAGAGGCCTCCGACAGCCCATCATCTCAACCGCGTTGCCTGTCTCCAGATATATTCATTACTTGGATGGATTTCGTTCTAGGTAAAGTATACTTCGCTTCCAAGGGAATCCTGTATCGTCAAACTATCGGTATACGTATGGGAACTAGCTGTGCTGCCTTCTTTGCTAACCTTCAATATTTTCAGTTATGATGTTGTACCGCAGCATTTGCTCTTCTTTCCAGAACATAATGGCGTCCTCACCAGACTTCTCAGCGTTCGACGATACGTAGACGATTTGTTGGTCGCCAGAATTGGGGAGGTCACAGATCTCATGTATCTCTCCACATGCTACTGCAGGGTATATATTCTAGGGAATCCCACGAGCTCAATTAATGTTTCTTAGCGACCTCGTGTTTTGAAATGTATGTGACCAATTCCCAAGCTGCTTAGAAACCACAGAACACAAACTCGAGAGCCACACCTTAACGGCTCCAGCTCATTTCTCTCCCACACTTGATATCATGGATCTCCTTTAAGACTAAATTAGGAGTCCTGGAGGGACAAGTACTTTTTGCCCCCGCATATGTACATCTCGACAGCATGTAGTTCAGTCCAAATTTAGCTTCACTTATCTAGCTTTAAAAACGACAACACTAACGACTACATTACGCTTTTGACATATCGTACTCTGGCTTTTGTTTTACGTCGCGAAATGTTCATACTGAGCTATTCTGATATGCTAACTTTCCGATTATCACGAGAGGTTACCTACACAGAGAGGGGAGCTTGTTCACACGCCCGTCTTCTACTTTATTACTTCCTTCAGTATTTTTTGCTTACTCACGGTATCTTTCACAATTGGGTTTCTGGGTTTGAGTGACAATAAGATCCCTCGCTTTTTATATAATCTGCATGCATTGATTCCGGTTTTCTGAGTGATGTTTACAGTGAGGTGTTCTTTTCTGGTTTTAATTCATGATTGATATCACTTCAGTTTCATTCTTCTCCTTTCCCGATGGTTGCCACTTGAATGATCATCCTCTCAGTTATGTGGCGTCCCATTTTTACTTCTTGCTCCTCCGCTCTCCCTCATTGCAGGTTCTTCCTTGGCTATATTTGAGATAAGTGTGGGCAGCAACCATTTTCATCTGGACTTATTGTCTCCAGAGGTCTTCTCAGCCCCCACGTGGTCCAGTGCAGAACCTGTGCACTTATGCGTCGCGGTATTCACTGAGAAGTAGCTGAGTGTACGTGACGGGAATGTAACGCTTCCCGGTCAGAGGTTGTTTATGGTCACTCGGCATCGTCTATAGGGCACACTTAGTTCCACCAGTTTGAATGCTATAGCCGGTCTCCTCCCTGTATTCCACCGTTATGCTTCCTCCAGGTTCTTCGTAGTGATGCATCTGTTTGTCTTTCAATATTTTACAGCTCCAGACAAGTCACATTTTTGCTATCATTGCCTTCTTGCTACTTTCCACCTGTTCTGTTTCGTCGGCACTAATGAGACGTAAATTCAAGGTTTTTGTTGCCTCGGTCTCTTGCATGCCAAGCCCTTGCGGCTGTTGTATCATGTACAATCATTTCTATTCGCTGGTTAGTTCGTTCGCTGAGCGCTGCAAATCGAATTCTACACATTCGATTTGCGTTGGACTGGCCTGCCTGCATTGGATTGTTTACTTCAGGATTTGTTTTAGTAGGTTACAGTTTCCGCGATCAAGTTGTGCAAACCTTCTAATCATATGTGTAATCTGCAGGTCACAAGATAGCTTCTGTGTACTGGCACACCTATTGCTTTTAGGCATTTTTTTTTGCCGCTGGTATTGAGTACATGTACTAGATCTTGATGAATCTAAAAGTATGTTGATGCACTCTCATGTTTCTATCTAGCATCGATAAAAGCCATTTGCATTGTATTTTTCTGCACTCAGTGGGTCTAATCCTAAAGCGTGTTTTCTCTGATACCTAGGGACAATGGTTAGTATTTATTTTGGGCATTTATCACCTGAATTTCACTGTTATTGACCTAACTTGTTTAGGGTGAGTGGATTTATCTTTTATTTTTCCGCCTACCGCCGTTTGTGTTGGGTTTGTACTCACGTGTCTTGGGTCAAGTACACCGAGCTTGATAATTGCATCTAGTTTTGCGACTTTTGTTCCTTCGTGGATTGAATTTGTTCATTTAGTAAGAATTCGCTGATTGAGAATCTAGTTACATCTATGGTACATCGCCCCTTAGGCGTATACATCTATTGAGTGTTGCATTCTCATTCTTACGCGCTTTCCTTGTTGTTATCAACAGTGTACAAGAAACACTACCCACCAGCACTGCACGATGAGGTTTGGCGTCTCGACAAAATTGGAAAGGATGGAGCTTTCCACAAGCGACTGAATCAGTCTGCAATTCAGACCGTGGAAGATTTCTTGAGGCTTGTTGTAATGGACCCTCAGAAGCTTCGAAACGTAAGCTTCTGTCAACTTTGTCCGTCTGGTACACCTTGCAGTGTCTACAAGTCAATTTTTTTGTATGATTGTTTTCTATCTGACGTTTACTGGCCTGCGTCTCTTTAGTTCTAATTTCAGTCATTCTTATTCTTCCTCCTCTATCCTCGTCCCTTTTCTCTTCTTCGTCCTTGTCCATGTCACCGCCAAACTAGGTCGTGGGCAGGGTAGTACATATTGTTCACGATCTCCAATCTTAGTGACGGTTTTTAATCAGTCTTCTGTTTTTTCGTGCGACATTTGGACTCCATGCACTTTAGTCCTTGCTGCAATTAAAGCTATGAAGACTGTGTTCAATTGAATTTTCCTGAAAGATCTTCAAGATCATGGATCCAGGGCTGTGGGTGTGAGCAGTGGTACTGTAATATACTGGGTGGGAGAACGAGTAAGATGAGATCAAGAGGTAGGCGGAAGAGGGATAACTGATTGAGAGTGAGGAGGATTTTTCTTATAAACCCTAATATTTTCTCCGTGCGGGACTCGTGTAATCTCTCGTATCACTCAGTAGCTCGTTGGGTTCACCTGGTTGACATGTTGAGTCTATCACAAGAATTCACGATCCTGTGGTATACTTCACCGATCTTTTGCTGATTGGGGCCCGTAAAGGCCCGTCGTGTCCCAAATCACATCCCGGGCCCTACACCATGATGCTCGTGGGTGGTTCTTTATGAAGTGTCCTCACGAATCTTACTTGCCTCGTAAATCCGTTGTCTTGCCATTTTTCGAGCCTCGTAAATGAGGTTCATTCGGAGCTTACAGATGTCAACCCAGACATCATTCCGTAGCTCAATCATCTGTACAGTTTGTTTGTACAGCAGCGGCTTTGCCCTCTCGATCAAATCTCAAAAGTTTCGGTTTCTGGTGTCACCAACGAGATTATGGAATAAGCTCGGGCTTTTTATGGTATCTGTCTTTCATGTAACCAGACTGTGGATAGTGTTTAGTTTCTGGACCACAGACTGTCCAAGAAGCTGGGTGGTCCCTCATTTGCTCCTTAACTAGAAGAGCAAGATCGCTCCTAATAGGGATGCCTTTCATCCAATTTATGAACTTTAGCCTTGTCTTAGCACTCCTTGAAGGTATTGCTAACTCAATACTCACGCGTCTTCCCTGCTCTTCTTCTTCGAATGCGATACAGATTTGTATCTTTGTCGAATCTATTAGCCTTGAAATGCTAATTTTTTCGCATTTAAAGTTTCAAAGACTAATTCGCCTTCAGCGATGCAAAAAATTCAACAATGTTTTTTTGGTAATAAAGTTCACCTTCCTGCGCTTACGTAACGATTCCATTCCCGCCGTTTTTCTTGTTTTTATCAGTTCATATCTGTTGGTTGCATTTAGTTCCCTGCTGTACGTTTGCTTCTTTCCACTGTTTTTTTGTTCATTGAGCCACAAAAGAAATACATGGACCTATTTTCATGGGAGACTGAGGAGTAAACTTATAGGCTGAAAGTTGCCCAGAACCTTTTGCCCAAGTTTGAGGACACTGAGGAGATCGTGCGGGTCAAGCCTTCTTGCGTTTCCAAAAGATGGCTTTGCAATGAACATTGTGGAGACTAATGTACATTATCAAACGTGGACATAGGTTTTATAAAGTAGTGATGTCTCTCTTGCACACTCTTTTACTTCAGATAACTGCGGGCATGGGATTCTAATGTTTCTCTAACCTTTTCCTTCAATTCTACAAGTGCTACAATTCAGCTGTTGCTGATTGTCAGTGGCCCCGACTCTATCTACCATGGCAGTCGTAATCGTTCTGAACTTTATTTTGTTATGGATCTCGTTATTGCCTGTGTTCAATTTTCTGCCCTTCTGATTTCTCCCATGTTTTCAGAATTTTTAGGATGCTAGACCTTTTATTCCGGAACGTGTCATCCAGTTTAAACTGTGTTACATCTTCAGGATTTGTTCGGTGTGCTCCGCTCCGGGCAAGTTAAGCCGCGCTGTGCATGTCCATGTGCTGTTTCATTATGTAATGACTGATTACTTCATCACAAGGCTGGAAGCATTACTCGTTCGTCGTCGAGTTGATGTTTCGACATGCGCCTCCGTTGACCCTGATTCTAACCTTATTCAGATTAGGTTCTTACCCTGTTTTCTCTGGTCTGGCTTTACTTGTGACGAGGATTACTGGCTCTAACTCAGCCACTACGATACCATGATGGGCTTTGATTAAGTTTAATTTAGAAGTTTAGTCATGGTGTTTATGTGGAGCTTCTTTGCCTTGCTGTATCCAATCTGTTGTAGTAATTACTGGAAAATTGCAGTGTGATTCATGGATTTATCGTATATACTTCGTGTCCATAAGTACTCAATTGTCGCCTTTCACAGTCCACTTGGGGTGTCTTCTTGCGCCATATTTTGTGTTCGGCATCTTCGCAATATCTTCAATTGTTACTCCCTCATCAGAATGACCGACGCCTTGCAGATACTCTTTTACCACAGTTGCTGTATAGTCGTTAAGTTAATGTTTGCTTTGGTTTCTTCTATCTGGTTGTGAGACAGTATTAGTTGATTATTCTATTTGTACTATACTTGGAGATTCGATGCAATACATTCTTCTGTTTCTCTTCTCTTTCCTATTCATAGGAGGTCAATGAATAGTAGCAAGTGAGGAAACTAGAGTATTTCGAGATCAACTAGCATTGTATGTGTGCAGGAATTAGAATCGAATGAATGATCGGCCCAAAACTCGAGCGATTGTTAATAATTAGAAGTAGGCGAATCCGTAATGGCATCTAGTACCAACATGGAGAAAAGGTGTAAGGAGTTGATACATCACATTGATCAGCTCTGACAGCCTTGTTTCCATGCATTCCCGTCCCGAGATGGACCGAAGAGGTGCGAATTTGTTCCAATTTCTTCAACCCGAATTTTCACTGAAGTTCGTTCGTTCAGCTGAACTAATATGTGCTAATTGTCCACTAACAGGAACATGCGTTCTTATAGAGCTTCCGATGCAAAGAATGGATGAATGAGGAATAGGAGTAGGAAGAAGCTAACAGAGGTACCTAAGAGGTCGATCTGAGTTTATCCATCATTGGCCGGCTTTTTATTATCAATGTAGAAACTCGACACCTGGGGTACTGGCTGTGTTAGAATGTAGATTACTCCCTACTTCTTCGGGACCTGTACACTATGTCCTAGTTATTAGGACTGAAGTTAGTAATAGTTAGGATGGATATTAACTGGGGATGCGACCCTTGAATGGGTGCGTCCCATGACAGGGACGCACCCATTCACAGAAGGGACATGGGTGCGTCCCATGACCCTTCTTAGAGCTTCGATCCGTGTGCTCTCTCATGACCTTTGGTCCTATCCGGATTGGGTACTTAAACCCAATCCGGGTCGCCTGTTTTCATCCATCAATTAAACTTCAATCCTTCCTCAACAGTGACTGATCTTTTACTCTCTATTGCATCGAATGATCTAACATGGTATCAGAGCAGGTTCCACTCTGATTCAAGGACGCTTGAATCTAGAAAGCCAGAAGGACGCTTCTCGCTGTGAGCCATCTCTGAGACACCTGCAAAAGCAATTACAAGAGATCCCTGATCCCAACCAGTCTCCGAAATTCGACTCCGAATTTGAGCAAATTCGACTGGCAGAACCTGTGAAATATCTTGACAGTGCTGATCTGAAGCACTGTGGAGCCGGAATTTCATAAATTCTTAAAAATTTCGAGCGAAATTTTAAAGTTTCCTGCGATTCAAACGAGAAATTTCACGAAATCTCACGCAAGTGGGGTCAGTATCCTCCATCGCACCGTGAAGAAGGTGTACACAGTGAAGAAGGTGTACACATGCAGACGTTGCGAGGAAGACGACATCATCAGGACCTCTTCGATTCTAATCACGGGATCTTCCCAAATTCGATGGGAAGCACTTTCATGCCTGGAAATACCAGAACAGCTGGCTCTTTCAAATGGAAGTCCTGATGGAACTGATTGAAGGGACTGAGCTCCGGCCTACTACTCCCACCGGTTCTGCGACCTGAACACCTGAGTCCGGCGCAGGGAGCAAAAAGGCATGGGATAAAAGGAATTTCCTTTCCTTGGCAATGTCGAACAATGCCATGGAATGGGACATACAGCCTTTAATTGCACGCTATCGGATAGCTGCTGACGCTTGGCGCGAGCTCGCTAGAGTTTATCAATCGAAATCGAATCCACACCAATTGCATTTGAGACAAGCGCTGCATTCCCTGAAAATGCAGCCAGGCGAGACAGTGTCAACCATCATCACAACGTTTCAACTCCTACTTGATCAGCTGGCTGCCATAAGACAGACAATTCCAGAAGGAGAAGCCTTGCTCTGCCTCCTACAAAGTCTTCCAAATGATTACGAAACCTTCGCTCGCTCCATGCGAGTGAGCGAGACGCTGTCCACACAGACCGTGATCACCAATCTACTTTTTGAAGAAGAGCACCTCAAGAAGCAAGCGGCAACTAACGGCACGAGACCACTGTATATCTTGAAGAAGAAAGGGTGGAATCCCTCTAAGCAGCAGCCCAGAAGATCAGATGATGCCGGCACTTCCTCATCAGCACTACCAGAATCCACAGCCAAGCCATCTTTTCCCCGGCAGAAAATGAAGTGCTTCTCTTGCAAGAAGCGCGTGCATCTTGCAAGTGAGTGTCGTAATAAGAAGCAAGAAAGCTCTTCTTCACACTCGACTGCCAACGCTGAGCACTGGTTGTTTGTCACCGGACTCTCGTCAATCGGCGCGGATCCCACATGGTAAGTGGATTCGGGTGCTACACAACATATGGCGTATAGCCGAAATTCATTTGTGGATTACAAGGAACTCCCATCGGAGGAGTTCATTTACCTTGGCGACGACAGTCGCCAACCGATACTCGGTAAAAGAAATGTTCTAATTTCCTTGAACGATGGAACGGACAGGGTAATACCTGACGTGCTCCACGTTCCTGCTCTACGCAAAAACTTGTTCTCTGTAACTCAGCAAGTTCTGCAAGGAGGGGGTTTAGTGATCAAGCCTGATCACTGCATTATATAGGACATGATGGGCGAAACAATTGTTCGCAGCACCATGGAAAATAAACTCATTCGGCTGGGCATGACTTCTACGACACCCCGAGCAGCCTCTGCCAATTCAGCAGTCAACACTGAAGAACTGACTACTTGCCAGTGGCACCTCAAACTCGGGCATATGAGTCTGTCCAGAATGCAATAACTGAAGCATAAACACATGGGGCGAGGATTCGAAAACTGTTCCTTGAAAACTCTCCCTTTCTGCACTTCCTGTGCCATAGGGAAATCAACCAGAGTAAAATTCCCCAACAAAGAAGCCACGCGTGCAACAGACCTTCTAGGCTTAGTGCACTCAGACATCTGTGGACCTTTGAGAACTAGAACGTTCTCTGGCTGTACTTATTTCATAATTTATCGATGATCTTTCCCGCTATACCCAAGTGTATCTCATTCACAAGAAGTCTGAAGCATTTGCTAAGTTTCAGATTACAAATTAATGATTGAGAATTTCCTGAGCAAGCGAATCAAGATTCTGAGATCAGATAATGGTCTGGAATATAAATCTCGAGCTTTTACTGACTTTTGTCTGCTTCACGGCATTCACCGACAGTTTACGATACCTGATACCTGATACTCCCGAACAGAATGGAGTAGCTGAAAGAAAGAATCGAACTTTGATCGATTCGGTCATAGCTATGCTAACACATTCTGGTCTGACGCATGGCTATTGGGGTGAAGCAATCCATACAGCAGTTTACTTGCAAAACAGATCTCCATCGAAGGCTCTGCCCACGGCGAAAACCCCTTACGAACTTTGGCATGGACAGAAGCCCGATCTGAGTCACCTGCAAGTCTTTGGATGTACTGCATTTGCCCATATTGAGAGGAACCATCGGGGTAAGATTGACCCTAAGAGCGTAGAATGTATTTTCCTTGGTTACTCTCCTACAGCTAAAGGATATAGGCTGCAGCGAAAAGACTCTCGTAAAATTATCGAGAGCAGATCTGTAAGGTTTATGCCTCTTGCTGTTCGGGAATCCAACTTCCCTCATCAGCAGACATCAGCTGTTCCGCCTAATAGCCAAGACGGTTTTCTCTTTAGCCATTTACCTTCAAGCTCATCTACTGTTCCAGATTGCAGAGTTCCTCTTCCACCAGCAGTGGAACTGCCACAAGCAGTGGGAGTGCCACCAGCAGGAAGGCCACCCGCAGTGGGAGCCTTCGGTCCAGAAACACCATCACCTGGAGTGGGAGCTCCACCAGCTCCTTCCACTCCTTCTGTGAGTAATCCTACTACAGCTGAAGTTCCCGCGACTTATCCGGTCCATTTTGGTAAGACCTATCAGAGGCGCGCCTGGAAGTCTCGGGAGAAACTTGATGATACGGTTCGCAACCTCGAGCAACTACTGGGCGAACTCAGACTTCACGATACTACATCTGAGGCCCCGGTTGCTCCACCCCCTGATCCTACAGCAAAGGGGGCAGCTTCATCCTCTTCCCAGACAATCGATCCTATCTTTCGAAGGGGGGAAAGAGTTAGGAAAAGAGTCGAAAAATATGACCAATTGTTGGAAAGGAGGAAGAAGAAGCATAGAGGTTTAGTTTCATATCAAGAGACTCGCAAAGAGCCGACCACCTATCAAGAAGCCTTACAGGGTGGAGATTCTGTCCAGTGGAAAGATGCAATGGAAAACGAAACTTCTTCCTTGAAGAAAAATCAGATATGGACGCTGACAGAATTACCTGCTGGCAAGAACGTCGTCGGTTGCAAATGGGTTTTCAAAATCAAATACAAGCCAGACGGTGCTGTGGATCGATATAAGGCGAGGTTAGTAGCGAAAGGATACTCACAGGTTTACGGTGTCGACTTTTCGGAGACATTTTCTCCTGTGGTAAAGATGACATCTATTCGGGTGTTATTGGCTCTAGCAGCTCAACACAACTTAGAGCTGCACCAAATGGATGTGAAGACTGCATTCTTAAATGGACTGCTAGATGAAGAAGTCTACATGGCCCTTCCTGAAGGGTTGAATATCTCTTCTGAGAGAAACATAGTATGTAAACTGAACAAGTCCATTTATGGACTGAAGCAATCCTCACGACAGTGGTATCAAAGGATTGACTCGTTCTTACTGCAGATTGCTTTCACCAGAGCAAATGAGATCAGAATGTTTATATATACTCTCAGGAGAAAGCATTTTTGTATTTAGCACTATATGTGGACAACTGTATATTGGCAAGTAATTCCTTGGATCTTCTCACAAAGATCAAGATGAAACTCAAAACGGAGTTCGATATGGTGGACTTAGAAGAGATCCATCAGTGTCTTGTTATGCAAGTAGACAGAAATCGAGAAGAAGGGTGGATTCGGATCTCCCAACCACGATTTGGTTGAAAAGCTTGCGAAGTTCAACATGGCTGACTGTAAGCCTATTGACACACCAATGGAACCCGGTTTAAAGTTAAGTGTGCTTGACTCTCCTAATTCAGTGGGAGAAAGTCAAGAGATGAAAGATATACCGTATCAAGCTGCTGTTGGAAGCTTGATGTGGGCAATGGTCTGTACTAGACCTGACATATCTTATGCTGTGAGCTCAGTTCATGTCAAATCCCGGATTGATGCACTGGAAGGCAGTCAAGAGAATTTTCAGATACCTGAAAGGGACTCTCGACTTTGGCCTTGTGTTTACAAGGGTTGATAAACCATCCGCTTTAGCTGGATATTCTGACGCGGACTGGGGAGGTTGCCTTGACACGAGACAATCTACTTCTGGGTATTGTTTCCAATTCAATGGTGGAACCATTAGTTGGACATCAAAGAAACAAAAATCGGTAGCACTTTCATCCACGCAAGCAGAATATATGGCTTTGTCCAAAGCTGGAGCTGAAGCTATATGGTTAAGAGAATTAATGAAGGATCTAGGTTTCCAGCTGGAGTCGACAACCATATTCTGCGACAATCAAAGTGCTACTGCACAAATTGTTAACCAGAAGAATCACGAGAGATCTAAACACATCGATATCAGATATCACTTCGTCAGGGACCTAGCCGCGAATAGCTTGGTCAAGCTGATTTATCTCTCCACCGAGGACATGATAGCTGACATCATGACAAAACCATTTGCTAGAGAAAGGCATTGGTGTCATTGTCAGAATCTGGGTTTATTAGATAAAAATGAGGAAGAGAGAAGTAAGTAGGTAGCAAGTGGGAGTGTTAGAATGCAGATTACTCCCTACTTCTTCGGGACCTGTACACTATGTCCTAGTTATTAGGACTGAGGTTACTAATAGTTAGGATGGATACTAACTGGGGATGTGACCCTCGAATGGGTGCGTCCCATGACGGGCATGACCCTTCTTAGAGCTGCGATCCGTGTGCTCTCATGACCTTTTGTCCTATCCGGATTGGGTACTTAAACCCAATCCGGGTCGCCTGTTTTCATCCATCAATTAAACTTCAATCCTTCCTCAACAGTGACTGATCTCTTACTCTCTATTGCATCGTATTGCATCGTATTGCATCGTATGATCTAACAGGCTCTAACTCAGCTATATTGACACCGTGGTTTGACCTGTGATATTGTGTTTTATTGTTACTGGGTTGAAAGTGTTCTGTATTCCTTTCTGGGTGCACGTGGATTCTTGCACAGAAATTATCCACTTTCCGGGCCCAGGCATGCTGAAACCGTTGCCTTCTACATGCTACGGCGGATATTTGAGTTGCGTTGGAATTCCAGTTCTGGATTCATAGACGCTGTGGTCAGTAGGTATCTCTGGTAGATTTGATCTGTATTCACTTTGAGGCTGCTGATTTCGGTATTCCTTGAATACTTCTGTGCGAATTTGTCGAGCTGTGTAGACAATTCTGCAAAATTTTAACGGGCACTGTTCAATAGCTCTCTAGATCAACACCCCTGGGTAAGAGATTGAATCTAGAATCGTATCATTCTTTGACCCAATGTATATACGGTTTTATCCCCAGCTTTTGGTTCCGAATTGGTAGTGACAACTTCAATCGACTGTATCCTGTTGTTGAGAGTTATTGTCATAAATGCAACTCTATTCATTTTCTATTCATTCGTAAGCTTGCATACACTTTATACAATAGGAACAAAGTTTTAAGGAAGAATTGTCTATAGTATTGGAGCTCTAATATTTTATCAATGAAAAATCCCTCTGAACTGCGGAGAAAGTGTGTTAATAGATCTGTTGTTCTCTTTTTGCAGATATTGGGAAATGGGATGTCTAATAAAATGTGGGAAGGAACGGTGGAGCACGCCAAGACTTGTCTTCTTAGTGGTAAACTGCATGTGTACTATGCAGATGACAAGCAAAACATTGGAGTAATATTCAACAACATTTTCCAGCTTATGGGCCTGATAGCTGATGGGCAGTACATGTCTTTTGACTCTCTCTTGGATAATGAGAAGGTATTTCTGAAGTCGACCTGTAGATACTGTGTTTTCATAGAAGATGATGACATTGACTTGCTGTGAACTGATTTAAACTCATTTTCATCAGCTCAGATAACGGTAATAAACCTGTCGCAGACGTGATGTGGTAGAGATGGACTTTCTTTTCCTTGAGAATGCCCCTTTGAGTCCGTCGGACTTATATGGTGATACGCATTTTGGATATATATCATCAGTGTCTATACTGTTCAACCTTCACGCAACGTGATTTGACTTGATTTCCATACGATATTACCTTTCTTGGCAAGTTTGACATGTATCTAGCTCATCAACTAGCCCAATCTCACACCTAGGTTACTTTGTCAATGCATAGCTCATCATCTAATTTCCGTCCTTGCATTTATGCAGCAAGTAGCGCTAAAAGATAGTAGTCATGTGGAAGTGGGTTTTTTTCCTGTGTTATTGATTTTAACTGCATCACTCGGGCCTTCTGTCTTCTGTCTAGATTTGTTCCTTATATTTTGAAATCACCGGTACAATTCTAGGTTTGCTTGGTTGTGCTATCCAAGAAGCGATAGAAAGATGGATTCAGGATATCTATTACGCATATTCGATTGTGAGTAGGAGCATAAAACTTTGGTTTAGTGCCTGAGTACCCGAAACCCTAAACCCTAAACCCTTTACTGTCCTTCAGCTGTCAACCAAGCACAAGCTCAGGGCGCTCAAACATCATTATCGCTTCGTTCCTAAAAGATTCTTTACGCTCTTTGACTGCATCCTTCATCTCATTGAGATCTCACTGACAGCCCTTTTCTGTTAGACTTTATATGATCGTCCTTGAACTCCGCTGTCAACCTCTCTAACCAATAGACAGTACTCCCTTGAAGAGGGAGGCAAAAGGAATGCCATCGGATTTCTTCCTCTTATCAGTCTGATTTATCTTACTTGAATGACGTGAACTTCGCTTATCTTACTGGTATCATTCACCCTATCTCCTCTCGGGAAACATGATCCACTGATAGTTCACCAATTTCTTCGATTCCCGCTGCTCTTGATTGAATCTTCCACTTGAATGATAAACGAAGTTGCGTTTGCTTGAGGATCATCTTTTTATATGTAAAAGATCTTTACTTTCATCCGTATCCGCATGGCCACTGTGCGGTGTTGATACGCATGACTACCTGTTAACAGTTCTTTGCAGTGAGTTATCTTCTTTATGGCTATTTCACAGAAAAGTCAGTATTCTCTTTTCAGTCTCCTAAGAAAACGTTAAATGTGGATGGCCTCAGAAGATGCATATGGTGCCTGGCCTTCCTATCTTCAATTTTGTATAGAAAGGAATTTCTATGGCTGGTGGAATCTATCTGTCTGATAGTTGAACCTTACTTCCTCTGTTTGTACTTACTACATCTACGATCCATGTATCTCTCCGGCTTCCGTGTTGCCCGTTTTGGTAAGACATCTGAACCAGAGTTTTAACACTTTCTAACCGTTTGCATGGCATACGTGTCTTCTCTCATCGTGTAGTCGTGTCTTGGATCAGTATGATCGTTTCTGCAATTAGTACTGCTATGTAGGCTTGTTCTGGACTTATTTGGTGTACTGCTACAATCAGTACATTAATATTGGCATCAAACGATAGGTCATATTTTTGGACATACATACCGTAGATCAGAACCCTGATAATGTCCTTCCTTGGATCTCTTCCATTCTTCTAGTCAACATATGGAGGACCTTACTTAAGTGTTTTAAGATAACTTTATATTTGTGAAAACTATTGAGGAGCTTCTTGAGGTTAACTTGTGTTGTAGAGCATCTTTATTTCTCAAATCACATGCATTGACGTTTTGTATTGAATTCAATATTTCTTTGCATTCATCTCGCACCTCTTATCAGTCCATTGCTTATATTCTTTTGGTTATCTACCCCTCTCCTCCCTCAATTTCCATTTTACTCCTCCTTTAGTTCGCTTGTTGGATATGTAAACCATCCGGAGATTGCTTACCTATCTTTGTTGGACACTTCACTTGCTTCGGCCTTGTTTGTTGCTGCTAGATGTCTGGGCACTGAAAAAATCACTATCCCTGATCCACGAGCACGGGTTGCGGTTACTGGGTCTGTTTGTTGATGGCGACCTAGGGTACACTCTTTCTGGACTAACACTTTTTTGATTTGGTCGCTTCTACCCTTAATCTCGTCATGGAATAGATATTTTATACAATATCTTCACTCCCGACCTTTGCATTGTTATCAGAGAATTCTGAAAAGCAGTACTGGCTCATGGTTGAAAGCGTGGTCTTTTGTTTCCTCTTGTTACAAGGATACTTCGTTGCTGGACGTTGAATCCCTTCTGGTATCCTGTTTGGACAATTTATCGTAGATATATTTACTTGTACTTTATTTTAAACCTTGAACTGTGCCTGTAGGACTCTTTGTAATAAGCCAATCGTGTTTGGCTGCTAACATCCTTCACACCTTAAACCCCATCTGCAGGATAGATGTCTAACATTGTGCTAGCATACATTCATTCTTGGATTTAGTGGATCTTTGGTCTTTGGGCTATGAAAATAGTGCAGATTTTAATGCTTATTGACTCGTTCTCGCTTCTGTTTAGTGAGCCATAGACAATACTCGCTCGTTGTTGGTTTACGCTGGCGGCCTTCGCTGTCTGAGTTTCTCTTGGTTCTTAAAATGCGTGCCCTACTCTCGGAGGTACAAACTCATTCGCTTGAGTTAAAATTTGCATACTGGATATAACGGAGCGAGCGAGCCTCTGAGGTCATTACATCCTGCAATTGTTCTTATCTTTCCTAGAAACCTACTGGAAATAATAACAGCACGATTGGAGCTACTCAGTAGTTCTTTAGTGACCTGGTTTAGAGTAAACAGGATAAAAGTCCCGCTGAAATGTTCTCTTTTGCCAACAGTGTCTCCTAGTGATTTGGCACTGTTGATGTGTGTAAATGCAGGTCTATGTGGACAAACTTGTGAAGGTGGCGTATGAAAACTGGGAAAATGTCGTGGAATATGATGGTGAAGCTCTCATTGGTGTTAAACCGGATAAGTTAAGGGGAATCGACGCCCACACGGAGGATCCAATCGGCGGTCAAGGTCCGATTGGACAACAAAGTCTGACAAGTATCTCCACTCAGCATGCTGTTTCTTCTTCTCAAATATTGGCCTTGCAACGAACACAAGGAGGTAGGTTGATGACTCGACTATCTGGCCATGAAAAATTCTGTTTCAATCCATGTCTTACTTTCAGCGTCTGTATTAATCCAGCGTCCAGGTATTTGTCTTTGGACTACGATTATCTCTGAGGTCGTTTCCTTGAAAGAGTAATGTCATAGCCATTTCGATACTGTCTTTCTTGATTCATATCATAAAATGCTTACACTACCAGCGTAGACCATGTGTTTTGATGTTTGCTGGATTTCGTTCAATATGTTTGTAAATCTTGGTACTTATCCATCGTGAGCATTCCTATATTGCTCTTAGTACTCTGGTTTTCTCCTCTGCGTATATTGATGTTCCTGATTAGGATATGTAACCGGTTCCATGTCAGGATACTTTGTTGGATTCACGCGACTTAGACTTACACCATTTGTCTCGGGCTTTTCTCGTTCTCACTGATTGACATCACAATTCCTGTGAATATATTGCGTCCTTGATTTACAAGCTTATAGATTCAATAATGCTGTCGAGGATTCTGTAATTTTCGAATACTTTTACTACTTTCCGTGCCCATTTAGTATTAGATGTTGCGATCGGAGCTTAAGAGATCTAACTATCCCAGATTGTATAATTGAGTTAGTTGTCCATCAATCCAGTCCCCTGCAACGTTGTGGCTGGGTGAGACTCCTACGATCAAATTTTGCAAAACTTGAAGAGAATATAAGCCGATAGTTTTGTTCATTATCGGACTCATGCCCTTCTTCCCGGATCATCGCCCTCTTCATGGACTCGGGGATTTTTCAGGATGGTCCCAAACATTGCATTGCAGTCTATTACAAACGTAAAACTCATTTCAGTATGCATCGGCTTGTAACACTCCCTCATATACTTTTAAGTTTTTCTCAGAAGTCCAAGCTCGGATCTACCAACGCTGAGGTCCTACGCTTTATCTGAATATGTAATACTCAGAAACCTATCCATATCGGTCTTAACTGATGAAGCATCCGAGTTATGTGATGCTAGTTTGATTAGTCTGTTACTCGGTGTTTGTTCATGTTCCCTGGCCCCGGTGTTGTAAACCATTTGGAAATATACTGCACGATTAGTGTTCTCAGTTTATATTTTGGTTTCGGTTCATCACATTATCAGAGCTATAGCTTTCAGTACTCGGAACCTGAGGTCGTTTGGCCCATGGTTGGCTGATCACTGGTGAACAAGTGTACTACTTAGAGTAGCCTTCTTGGGGCTTCGTTGTTCTTTAATCCGCAATCATAGATTACAGTACTGTTAAATGCGTTTAGTCTGGCTATTTATTCCAGGACACTCAGTGATGGGCATGTACCAAATGGTACGGCAGTTAACGTATTACATGACGGGAGCTTTATTACAAGCCAGTTGTGAAGGTCTTACACCTCCTTTTCGCTTCTAGTTATGTACTTTCTCTATGGTGACTCCTTGGCCTCATTCTTCATCACTCTTAATTTCTATGTATTACGACCATTTTAAATCTAACTCTTTGCTGTACAATATTTACAATTAGTCTGGACAACAGTTCTGGAATTCCTCCATGTCTGTTGGGTTTGAGTTACACTTGACTCCGCGCGGTCCACGGCAGAAACCTCTTCACCTTGGTACCAATTGATGAAGTAGCCGGGCTAATTTGGCGATGTAGTGATGCATAATCGGTTAGACTCTGTGTTGACGGTCCCTGGTTCCTCCTCTCGCATCAGATTCGAGGAACTATTCTGCACTCTGTTCTGACATTACCTTTGCACTCGTTGTTTTGAAACATATACCATTTCTGTCTCATCCCATGGATTGTGGATGCCTTATTCCTTTCCCGCATCTCGCTTCCAGGCTTCTTTTCTCGATAATCTATGAAAGTTTGTACATCTATCCGTCGTTGTCTTCAGCAGGATTCTGTGCCATGTTTCGGTACTTGTCTTTTCTCCTCGACAGTTCCAATGCATCGCCTCATGCCATAAAGAGCGTCCCAGGTTTACGCTCTTGATTACGTGTTATTCCAAATTTCATGAAAGATAGCACTGGTCCAGACCATTCTATGATGGCGAGCAGATTGTATGATTCAGAAGCGTTACATTTTTATTATGTTCAATTCGGGTATTCACGACCTGAAGTCCAAGTCTCCACGCTGACCTGATCTGACCTGACAATGCAAGACCTCTACAGCAGCATAATCTTTTGTATGCTGACGATGTGGATAGATCGTACTTATCCCGATCAGTCTGCGCAGGTGTCCAGATCTATTCTCAACCTGAACAGAAGGTTCATACGAAGTTCTTCAACCAAGTCAACTCGTTAACAGAGCATCACAACAACAACCAGGGTGTCATGAATGGAGAATTGGCGTTTTCTTCCACTCAGTCTTCCATGAGCAGCATTGCACATCACAATTACATACAAGGAATAAGTGCGCCTGTAACTGGGTTGGCCCTTGGTTTGCCTCACGCGAGCATATCATCATCTCCAGGTCCATCACTAGCCGTACTGAATCCAGCTACTACCATGCCCGGAACGGTCACGTCAGGAAGTGACTGGCCTCGCTTTAAGGAACTCCGCGGACAAGAAAGTTTGTCTCGGGCAGTGCAGCTTGATGAGGAGTTTACAGAAGATGAACTACGAGCTAAAAGTATGGAAATGTTGGAAAATGAAGATATGCATATGCAGATTCAGCAACTGCTTCGTATGTTCAACGTTGCGTCTGGCGATGTTCCGTCCAATCCTTATCCCAACGTCCATGGGGACGAAAGCTTTTCATTTGGAGCATTTTCGCCGCCACCAGATCTGAATGTTGGTATGGATAGAACTCGCTTGAATGGGAGGGCCAATGTGGGTTGGTTAAAACTGAAAGCCGCTTTGCGATGGGGAATTTTTATAAGGAAGAGGGCTGCTGCAAGAAGGGCTCAACTTGAGGAGTTGGAAGATGATTGATTCCGTTGGAAACAAGCCACAGCGAATTTTAATCCGTCTTTGGAGAACAGATTTGGTGATTTTGACACTTTCTTGCAGATAAAAGTGTCAAAAGGGTATCCTAGTAAATAGCTCCAGAGGATTGTTAAGTCGCTGAAGGTTCTTGGATGTGAATAAGATTTTGGGGTTGGGAAGTACTTTATTATCTCAGTCTGTTTGGCCTATGTTGTCACTACATGTAATGATTTTGGTTTGGAGTAAAATCCTGCGGAATAGTACTGGCTTGGAAAACAAAAGATTCATGTCTTTCCTTTCAAAGTTAAGGAGGGCTTTTACTTTTGAAGACAGTTACGGAAGATCATACGGCCATCAAGGTGGGGCGATGGTGCACTACTGCGCTCAGATAATGCACTCAAGCTCTTACCGATGTGTTAGTCAGATATCCGCACTACCCTGTTCTTTAGCAGGTCTTTATGAATGGCTCACGCGGAGGACGGTTCCAGTGAGAAATTCATGTTTTGTTTGGTGCAGCTTTTAAGTCAGATAGTAGTCTAACACTTTTGAGAATCGGTTTTGAAATGTTATTAAGATAAGAAAAGATTTTTGTTTTGAGTAACTGATCGTCTGCATGATAAACTCGGTTGTCTCCTTTTGCTGACTATTTTTGTGCAGAATATGATTCTGGCATGGACTCCCATTCGTCAGCAGTAGTTCTTTCTGCCCTTTCACCGCCACGTAGGCTCTTCTTACTCGTAATACAGAGGTCACACTTATTGGAGCACAAATGCGAACACAGAAAGAGCAACTACGCCATTTTTTTTCATAATTTTTCTCAGTGGATAATCATCCTCTCTTCACTCCATATCGAGTTATGATCGCAAAGAGCTGAGTGGATTGCCCCACCAGGTTGAAAGTCTGGCAGAGGTTGTTGCTGTTAATTAGGAGTACACTGAGAATACTCCCCGGCTATGTTATGCAATGAAGTTCTGAAGTATGAGAGATCGTTGTGCAGTAGGGGATTGCGGCACCGAAACAAAATTTTTTTCTGCAGAAACTAGAAAGCGACACTTAGTTACTAGTAACCAGTGATCGCTGAGCAACAGATCATCACAGAAACCACATCGTAACACCTCAGGCCGATATGCACGTTTGATCGCAGTCTAGAATGTGTGATCCATGTGCGCGAAATATTTCGCAGCTGAGAATGCACTATAGACCCTAAACTCAAAGCTAATTGGGCTAAACGAAAAAATAGCCACATCTGAGAATGCACCAAACACCCTAGACCGAAAATGAATTGGGTAAAACGAGAAAATAGCCACATTTTGCCGTAGATCCGTAAGTACTAACGACCGCAATGGAGTAAGGTATCTCCAGAAAACTACAAGCTCTGAACATGAAAATTCTTTTTCGTCATACCTTTTTGTCCTGTCGTCACATGAAAGAACGTAAGAATGAATTGAGTTTAGAAATCCACATGATTGTATTCATCAATTAATGATGCAACATCATCGTTGCGAAATTCTAATCTAAAACAACGCCCATTTATTTTCTCATTAACGAGATGTTGATGTCCGATGCGCTCCAAATCCCCAATCCTTTGTCTGCTTTTGGCCTGCAGATGAAGTTTCACTAGACCAATGCAACCTTAGCCTCTCCTTCCTTGTTGTTGCTCCATAGAAAATGTTTGTTAAGTGTTTTTATCTTAATTCACGTTGTTGCCAAAAAGTTCATGAACGAGGTGTAAAAGTTCAGATGTGCTTGTCAAACGAGTTGCAGTAGTATTGTTCAAGATTCAATAGACAAGAGCTTTGTTTTCTAGCTCCTTAATTTTTTTTGCAATTTGTAATTTCAGAAGTCCTCTTGCTGACTTGCTAAGATGTTCAAGCCAGTAGGTGCGCCAAGGTACTTTTGGATTTCTCCAGGTTCCATCAGGCAGCAACCTTGCCGGTCGGTCCATTCCAATGAGCAGGATCAAAGACCTTGCTAAATTGAACTTTGCTTACTACTAGCTTTATAATTTGCTCCTACAGCTTGTAGCTCTAGACACAAATTTGAAAATTTGCTGTACAATAAGTTCCTCCAATTTATTATTGTATACCTCCTTGATATCCTTATCCAACGCTTCTATTTTCAAGATAAACTTTGTTTGCTCCTTTTTTTTGTAGCCCTAAGTAACTTTCTGACCTCTTTCATATCTTGGTCATATGTTCTCCTATGTTGAATAGCTTGTATTGTAATTTTTACATTTCTTTGTGACATAAGCTTGAACAGTCTTCTTTTCCAGCAACGAGGCGCTCCATTTGAATAAGCTTCCCGTTATCATCGTCTATCTCGCCAAGCTCCATTATTCTTATATATGATCGGAGAGGATGCTGCCTGCATGAAGTGTCATATAGCTAGCCCCTGCTAGCATCTGTCTACAATGTGATGTATAAATGTGATGCCTAAACTATCCAGTTGCAACCATCTGAGCGTGTCATTGTATCCACACCATCTGGTGTGTTATGGATTGAGAGACCTGTGTGCCACTTGTCTCAGGTCGACCAAGTTGTGCTTGGCTTTGAGTTCATTAAATGGAGTTTTTTCTACTCTCCACGTAATCTATTTTTCTCTTAAGAAATTGAATTCCCTTCCAACCATGTTCTGATCATCAGATAGTAGAATGTTTATATGAGAAACAAGTTCCAAATTTTATCCCAAGAACTGTTTTGATCTTTTGGCAATTGAGGTTCGTATTATGGTAAGGGAGAAACCTCACCGTATGAATCCCAAATATGCCAAAGTGATAAAAGTAGGAGTGGAAAAATTGTTAGAAGATGGATTCATCCGGCGGGTGAAAAATACCGAGTCGGTACTTCTAATCAACTTGGCTCCTAAGAAAATGGAAAGTTGAGTGTTTGTGTGCATTACAGGAAAGTTGAGTGTTTGTGTGCATTACAAGAAAGTCAATCACGTTACAAAAGAAGATCGATGTTCCTATTCATTTTGCGACAAATTTCTAGAGTAGGTGGGGAACCATGAATTAGATTCCTTTGCGGACAGGTACAATGAATATCATCAAATGAGGATCGCATCTGAAGATCAATTTAAATTCATCTTCACTTATCATGGGGTAGCTTTTGTTATGAAGTAATGTCATTTGGACTTTGCAAGGCTCCAGCTACCTTCCAAAATCTAATGAATCAAGTCTTGAAACCATACTTAGATCCCTTTGTACGAGTATACAAATTGTTTATCTATGACTGAAGGATATGAACTTTCAACTTATAATCGTTAATTCTTCTACTTGTTAAATCGATCACGAAGTTTCATCACAATTGTGTCGAGGTAATGTAGTATGATATTGCTCAAGCAGCTCAAAAAGTAACTCCTAACGTAACAGTCAAAGCAAGACGCATTGGTGGGTAAATAGTCGCATGGGCCTGGTCACTGCGACATGCCTACGCACCGGAAATGGCTTGACGATTTCCACACACGAGCACTATAGGGAGAGACAAGTAGGTTGTATTTCAAGTATTTCAAAAAGTCTGACAGGAGTTCAACCTCTTGGGACAGACTGTCCAATCCGCATTTGCTCTGCAAGAGCAAATAGCTATAGAGCATTATAGATGATTTTGGAATTTAGAAACATCTAGCCTTATCTTTCTAGACTAGGCCTCTTAAGTTTTGGCAAATGCCAGGTTTTCCAAAAATTAAGATAATTTTGGCAATTTTTCTACTTAATTTTGACATTTTTGGCATAGACACTATCATTTCATTATTTTTTGTGAATGGCTTGGCTATAATGGTTTTGAGCATTTTGAATTGCTTCGCACTCATAATACTAAACCTCCAAGGAATGACTTGTAAGGTTGATGTGGGAGTCATCTTTCTTCCATTTGATGATGGAGATAACGGTTTCAATAAAAAAACAACATCTCAAAGCAAAGCTTACGCAAATGCATGAAGGATCCGTTCAAAAAATCCCATGCTTTGTTTAAAAAAGTATTACCGTCTTGAAATGATATGAAATTAAAAAATTGAAAGATAACTATGAAATGTGTTTGGATACTTATGTTCCAACAAAGAAAAAGTTCACAATGATAAAAAAAATGCTACAAAAATGATGTGAAAGAAAAAAGAGAAAAAAATATATATTAAAAGTAAGCAACTTGTTATCCACTCTCAATTCTTAACGTTAAATTGATTCTTTGCCAAAATGAGTATGTCATCCATGTAAAGTACTAGAATAATGAGATTGAAGATCTCATTATTCAACTTTTTCCATGTATAAGGATCATACACTTAAAAATCCTTGTGTTTTCATGAACTCAATTAATTTTTTATGTAATTACATAAAAAATTACTTAAATCCAAATAATGATTTTAACAATCTACAAACCATCTTTTTTTTACTTTTCTTTTCAAAACCAATTGGTTGTTTTATGTAGATTTTTGACTCGAAAGATTGATAGTTAAATGTTGTAACTACATCCATCTAATCCATATCCAGACTAAAGATAGCAACAAATGGACATACCAATCCAATTATAATATGCTTTGCTATAGATGAAAAAACTTTGTTGCAAAAACTTAGGCCATAGAGTCCACACTTTTTCTTGTGTGAAATCCAGCTTGTAGACCCTCTTGCAATCAATCAAAGTTTGATTCCTTGGAAGTTTTACTATAATTATTTGAATTATTACTAACATATACTCTGCAGTAAATACTGTTTTTAAAAGATTGAATCAAACAATTTTATAATTCATGCATAGTTTTTGAGCCAGTTTGGTTTATTAGATGAATTTTAAGCTAAAATTGTCTATGTCACAATATATTTGACAAATTTTCACCTTTCAATGCAATCAATTTTTTTGACACCGTTTGATTTTAAGCACAAATGGATGACTTATTACAATATTTAACATCAAGATTGAATATCGGCAAATTGTTTCATCTTTTTTATTGACATAATCTAATTCAATTTTGTGATCTCTTTGAACCATTTCAATTGACTGCATCCTATATGTTAACATCAGAATTCTGTTGAGTTATTTTTTAAAAATATTCTAAAATTTTTCTACAAAGTTTAAAATAGATGTAATTTCAATGCCAAGTCAAGAAATTTTATTTTTAAAAATTGTTTCAAGTCAAAGAAATATCAACTTAAATTTAATTTCAACAAAAAAGCGGATTTCAATTTTTTTCAAAATTTGGAAAAATTGCGTAGTAAATTCTGCAATGCAAATTATAATTTTCAAACTAATTTAATATCTTAAAATTAAATATTTGGTATTTTATTTTTTTATAAATACCTGCAATTTGAATTCGTAGAAATTTAAAATAAATTTGAAAATTTATTTAATGTTCAAAATTTGTTTCAATAAAAAAATTAGCGATTTTTCTAACCGTTGGATCATCTTGCAATTTATTCATAGTGTTAAGTACTATATTTTAGAATGATTCAACGGTTTAGATCATACTTTTCACATACTCTAACTTTTCTATCAATTGCACAAATTTCCAGCCGCCTTTAATGTTTTAGATAGAAGAGATTATTTTAAATCAGATTTCAAGTTTCAGAAAAATTCTAGCATGTATGTGACCTAAACACTTTTTGTAAATTATTCCT